CGGTCCCCGACGTGCCGTGGCCGCCTCTGCGGCCGTTCGCACTCGCCGCCCTCCGGTCGCCGACCTTGCTCCGGCCCACTGCCCGCAGACGATGGTCCGGCGTGGCCGTTGGGTGCAACGAGCTGGCTGCCGATGCTCGTCGACGCGGCGGGCACCAGCCTGTTCGGGTTCTGGCGCCCCCGGTCGAGGCCGGGCGGCGACTGGAGCGTATTGACCTTTTCGAGGAAGCTCAGCGGGCCGGGCGACGTCGAGAGCTTGGCATCCTTGATCGCCGTCGTGGGTGCCGCCTTCGCAGTCTCGGCGCCGGCGGTCCTCGCTGTAGCTTGGGTATCGACTGAAGATCCGGTCGATACTTTGGCCGAGCGGCCGCCGGCGGTGCTGGGCTGTGACGCGACCGAGGGGCTCGTCCCGAAAAAGGCGCTGCTGCGCGGCGTGTGGTAGATGCTGGGCGCACCGATGCTCATGGTCGAATCGACGCGCTGCCTCGCATCCTCAGCCTTTGCCCTGCCCCTGGTCGGCGTGCTGGGCGAAAAGACGGCGCTGCCCGTGCTCTTGCTGCGGCCGATCCCCGGCCTGCTGGCTGTGGCTCCAGCTCCACCTCCAGCGCTGCCGCTCCCTTCTTCCTCGGGGCTCTGCGGCTGAAAGACGTCGATGCTGCGAATCGATTGTCGCTTCTGATGCCCCTTTTTGTGGTGGATGGTAAGGTCGCCTCTCGTGACGTTGAGTCCCGGTGGAAGGCCGGTGATGGTGGAAAAGGTGCCGTAGGGCGTCTCAGGGTCGTTGTTCGACTCGCTCGACGTCCTGGGCCGGTCGCCTTTGCCCTTGCGCCCGAGCGCGTCTCCTTCGCTGTGCTGCTGCCGGCTGCGGTTCGGATCGGGACGCTGCAGCACCTCCTCCGGGCTGGCAGGCTCCTTTGCGCCAGTGGGTCGCGCCCCGTTCGGTGGCTCAGGCCGGTCGTCGTCGAGGCTCTGCTTCAGGCCCCAGTCCGGCTGGTCTGGCGGGCTAGGCACGAGGGAGTCGAGGACCTCGCGCACCTGCTCACGCTCGACGCCTGGCAGGTTGTATCGCTGCACGATATCCGACTTGTTGCCGACGCAGATCCAGCAGAAGCGCCTGCGCTCGGCCTCGGTGCGCGGGCCGGGCGCCTTGTCCATGAAGGCATCGTACCAAACCTTGATCCGATCCAGCGACGACGCCGGCGAAGCGCCATCGGTCGTCGGGGTGGCTGCCGCGGCATCGGCCTGTGACAGGTCAAAGGCGATGATGACGGCGTCTGCGCCGCGGTAAAATGCGCTGCCGAGCGACTGGAAGCGCTCCTGTCCGGCCGTGTCCCAGATCTGCAGGGTCACCCTCTCACCCTCTGGCTCGTGCTGGTAGGCGGGCAGGCTCTTTGTGATAAAGTCTGCGCCGATGGTGGCGCGGTAGTTTGGCGAAAACTTGCCCGAGAGGAACTGATTGCGCAGGCTCGTCTTTCCGCAGCCTCCGTCGCCGATGAGGACGACCTTGATGGAGCGGCGCGGGATCGTGGGGCGCTGGATGGTGGATGCGGCCAGTGTCTGCGTGCTGGATGGCTGGGTGCGGGCCGAGGTCGATGCTGCGCCTTTTGGCGGCTGACCCCATGCCATGGTCGATGGGATATCGGGCGAGGGGCTGGCGTGGCCAGCCGAGAGGCCGAGTGGGACGTTTGGCGGGCGCGAGCGAGGGGCAGCAACACGTTGCGGGTATCAGACCTAGCCAAGCGGGCGAATGGGGGGACGACGGAAGCGCACGTGGAGGAGAGGAGGAGAGGAGGAGGCAGAGGAGGAGGTGATGGTGGTGCGTAGGTGCCGGCGTCGTCGCAGGTGGCCCAAGGACGATGTGAGGGCGCCCTCGATCAGGGTCTCGGCCAAGCCGAAGTGAGGCGGTGGCGACGTTGGTGGTGCTGTGATGGTGATGGCGATGGTCAAGGTGAAGCGTGATGGGGGGCTTCAAGAGGCTGCTCTGCTGTGCTGTGCTGAGGAGGCAGGCAAGCCTGGCTGGCCCCGGCACCTGGTCCGACGGACGGAGTCGAGTCGAGTCGAGTCGAGTCGAGTGGGGGCGGATTGAGCTCGATGCCGATGCCGCGGAATGGCCGCCAGGCCTCCTCACGCGAGCCAGCCAACGGCAGGCAGGGGGTCCCTGCGCCTGGGATGCAGCCAGTCGAGCCAAGCCAGGCCAGGTCAGGCAGCCCCGCCCCGCCAGCCAACCAGCAACATCTCGTCTGGCCCAAAAAAACCGAAAAAAGTGGAGCTCGAAAGCAAGCAAGGCCGGGCGGCTGTGCAGCCAGCAGGCAGGCAGGCCAGGGTCTCCCTTTGCTCGTTCCGCTCGCCTGCCTGTCCACGCACATGGCCAGGCCAGGCCAGGCCATGCGATCCACACGCCACGCCGCAACGCGCCGCGCCGCGCAGGGCAGCAGGCCGCACAGCCTCACAGCCAGCTCTAGTTAGCCTCCCTCAATCCGCCCGGGCCTGGCCTTCTATGGGCCGGACAACCTCTCTCCGACACCATCGGTCCACCGTCATGCCTTGACGCTGGCACCATCCTCCTTGCGCCGCTATCCGTTGGCTCGCCGGCAGGCGGGCAGGCAGAGTTGTCATGCTAAGCGCGCTAGCCTGCCGTGCCACGAACGCGCTGCGACGAGGGACGGTGCGATGGGTGGGCGATTTCAGCCAATCCACTCTTTCTGTGGGCCAGGCGCCAGCGTCGAGGCATCAAGCTCGCTCGCTCGCTCTCTAGGTCGCTGCGCCAGAGACGGCCACAGTCTGAGCGGATCCTCAAGCAACCCAAGGGACGCGGCGAGGACCGGTGGTGAGTGGATACGTGTGCTTCGCTTCGGTGGGCATAGGGCCAAGAGGGAAGACAGCAAGACGACAAGGACGTCTCAAAGGAGCGTGGGGTGCCAGCAAACGAGCACAGAGGTAGAGCGTGACGATTCGCAGAAGAGCACAGTGAAAGGGGAATGGGATGCTGGTGGATGAGACAGGAGGGACAACGAGTGTGTGCGGGGCCCATGGCAGGGAGGGACCCGGGGAGACGAGAGAAAAGAGGGAGCACAGGGGACGAGGCAGCGACGAGATGGAATCAACCCGTGAGAGAGAGACGGACAGCGGGGGGATGCGACAGCGTTGCGGCAGTCAAGCAGCAGACAGAGAGAGGGAGAGATCTTGACAGGGAGAAGGAGTGTGAACAGAGGAACAGTACCCCCATTAAACCGTGACCGAGAGATGAAGAGATGGAGAAAAAGAGACGCAGAGGATGAGTAGAAGGAGAAGGAGGAGGGGCCCACGGCCCGTGGCCCTCTCAGTCGGTGTAGCCGTACATCTTGGGCCGCCGGCTCTTGTCGCCGCCCGTAATGACGCTGCACAGGAAGTCGATGAAGCGCTGCCCGTACTCCTTGGGCGGCACCGCGCTGATCATGTGCTTGTTCTGCGAGAGCCCCTTCCAGAAGTGCTCGCCGCGCTTGAACGTCGTGTACGGCGTAAAGAGGTCAATGACGCCCAGGTAGTAGATCATGTCGGTCGGGTTGTTGTCCTGGTCGGTGGCGCGCAGCCCGCCCTCGTCCTGGTAGAAGACAAAGTAGCGCCGCTCGCTCGAGTCGCGGTCGGGCAGCTTGGTCACCTGCTGCGCGCCCAGCGCCTTGGGATCCGACCGCCGCACCGCCTCGCGCAGCGCCAGCGCGTCCTTTTCGCCGCCGCCCGGCCCGCGCTTGACCTGCGTCGGCTGGCGGCGCAGCTCCTTTGTCTCGGGCTGGAAGACGCGCAGCGCATCCTGCCGGATGTTTTCCTTGTTGCCGCGTCGCATGTCGTGCAGGCCAATGAGGAGCGAGTAGTCCATGATCCGCAGCCGCTGCAGCAGCGCCACGTCGCTCTTGAGCTGCGCCTCGAACAGCGCACGCTTCTCGGGGCCCAGCTGGATCTCGCGGTTGCGCCGCAGCCAGTTGAGGTCCTTCATCACCGCGCCCTTCTTGGTCGCCACCTTCTCCTCGGGGTAGTCCCGTCCGATGGAACTGCCTTTGAGGTCGTAGGTCTCGTGGATGTCGCGGTGGGGCGGGAAGAGGTTGTTCATGATGACAAAGTGGATCTTGCGGCCGTGGGGCAGCTTGACGCGGTGGAGGCCGTAGAAGCGGCTGAGCAGCGTGTGCGGGTTGGCCTTGATGTGCTCGTGGTAGTCGCGCAGGATGCGGCGCAGGAACTTGTGCTCGCCGTGGCTGATCGTCTTGATGATGAAGCGGTAGTCGCGCGAAAAGTAGAAGAAGGAGCCGCTCTTGCCGGGCGAGCCGAGCTCGCTGAGGATGTACTTGGACGTCAGCGAGAGGAGGTAGTCGGCCGGATCCAGGTGGAAGTACTCGCGCAGCTCGCGAAACACCCAGGGCGCGTAGTCCTTGAACTTGAAGTCGTACTTGGCCGAGGGAGTCAGCTCATTGCCGATGATGTCGAAGGTGAACTTGTGCTTGGCCGCGTAGTCGGCGTCGGTCAGCGCCCGCTTCGACTTGGCCTGGCATCGCGACACGCCGATCCGGATGCCCGTCAGCATGTTGTACATGAGCACGTAGTTGGCGTGGTCCTCGCCAATCAGGTTGCCGACAAGGACCTTGGGCTCGTCGTTGTTGTGGTGGTGGTGGGCGTGATCGTCGCCGCGTTGCCGGGCTTCGCGGCCGGTCCTGGACCGCGTCAGGGCGCTGAGGCCCGTGGCCTCCTTTTCCGCCAAGGCGCCTTCGGAGTCTCCCGAGGCGGCGGCCGCTCGCGCCTTCT